AAAAATTCAAAATTAACAAAGCACCATTAAAGGTTCAAACTCCCTGTGTTATAATATTTTTCATCCTTATGTGGCTGTTTTTATATTACTTATTCTCTCTTTAAGGACTTTATTATTTTTAAAGTATTTTTTTGTGACTGTCGATACCCATCTAAGCACATTTTTAAACATACTGTACCTTTTGAGGTGCTCTGTGTCTGGACCTGGCTTTACCAAACACCTGCAGTATTTTCTGACCTCTTGAGACAAATCTTAAACTGTCATGTCAGCTGCTGGGCAGCTCAGCTTAGTGCATGGCACTGGGGTATGGCGCTGGCGGCTGACTCCAGCCCACAGGCAGTGGTCAGTAGCGGTGTCTCTGTATGCCACCAAGCCTACCCCAGAGACCACAGTCACAGGAAGCCACATTTGACTCCATGTTCTACACTTTTTTTTTAAGCTTTCTTGGGCCTTATGTGGATATATGTGGCCAGACTTTGGGTGCCATGTGTATCAGGCTTTTTCTTTGGGTTGTCAGCTCACCAATAATGACATGGAGACATTTTTAATTATGAAAGCTCAGTCTTAGCTTAGGCTTGTTCCTAACTAGTTCTCTTAACTTAAATTAACCCACATTTATAAATCTACATTCTTTTATGTGGCTCAGTTACCTTTACTCTGAATCCCCATCCTGCTTCCTCCACACCTGGCTGGTGACCCCACCTTTCTTCTTCCTAGAGCTCTCTCTGTCCAGAAGTCCCACCTATACCTCCTGCCTAGCTGTTGTTGGCCATTTAGTTTTTTATTAAACCAATCACAGTAATATATTTTTACACAGTGTAATCAAATATCTCCCAACAAAGCAGAAATCATAAAAGCCTAACCAGAAATGAAGGGACTTCTAATATTACAGAGATAAGAGTGAAGAAAGATTACCAGGGATTTACTTTGTTTTGAGATTTTGTTTATTTTTATCTTATATGAATGGGTGTTTTATCTGCATATACCTCTGTGCACCATGCGAATACAGAGGCCAGAAGAGGTTGTTGTATCCTCCAGAACTGGAGTTACATACAGCTCATTGTTAGCCATCATGTGGGTGCTGAGAACAACCTGGGTCCTCTGGAAGAGCACTCAGTCAGTGCTCTTAACCATTGAGCCATCTCTCCGGCCAGATCACCAGAGGTTTAAAGATATCTTTATCAGATTGGTTTCATGGGTACTGGACAGGAAAACTATCATTAATGTATTAGTGTCAAATGAGCTGCTGAGCCAAGGCCAGGAAGGGGAGTTACCAGCATGTCTCAGAGGCAGAACACAGGAAGTAATTGCTTTTTATTTCCATTTTTCAGTTTTGGTTTTTTGAGACAGGCATTCATACTGTAGCCCAGGTTAGCCTAAGGCTATCATTATACAGCCCAAGCTGGTCCGGAACTCTTGCTCTGCCTCCTGAATGCTGGGATTCCATAACTCCTGGTTATGGAAGTAATTGTTCAGGGAAACTTAAGCATGCCAGTAAAGATTGGCATGGAGAAGGGTATAACACGAATCTTAAAAGGTCTTATTAATAAAAAACCCAGAGCCAGATATTGGGGTGAAAGCGGAAAGATCAGAGAATCAGAACAATCCACAGCCAACCTCACCTCGCCAACTCCTCAGCTGATCCTATTTATTTCCACGAGTCCTCACCCCTGAAGGTCTCAGTTGAACTGCTGCTTAGCTCCTGTCTCCTCACACCTTATACACCATTCTCCACCCAGCCATGTCCCTTCCTGGGATTAAAGGCGTGTGACATGTGTGACATTAAAGGCAAGCAAAGATATGAGATCTCAAGTGCTGGGATTAAAGTCGTGTGCCACCGCTGTCTGGCTCTCTTTCCAGTGTGGCCTTGAACTTACAGAGTTCCAGATGGATCTCTGCCTCCTGAGTGATAGGATTAAAGTCGTGTGCCACCACTGTCTGGCCTCTATGTCTAATCTAGTGGCTGGCTCTGTTCTCTGATCCCTAGATAAGTTTATTAGGGACACAATATATTGGGGCACACAATTTATCAGCACAGAAGGGTGATGGTAGGAGTTGATGGGTGGGCAGAAAGGGACATGAGCCAGTGATGTGGCCACAGTAGGGAGGTGATGGTCTTCATGGTCTTTGGCATGCTAAAGTCTATTTTCTCACAGACTTTCAGCAGCTCTGTCAGGACTGGCCTGCTGCCTACAAGCTTTATCTCCATTGCAGGGGAAGATAAAATTGTCTTCTTGAACTCACAGAGATCTACCTGCCTCTGCCTCCCGAGTGCAAGGCCAGCCTGGGCTACAGAGTGAGTTCCAGGAAAGGCGCAAAAGCTACACAGAGAAACCCTGTCTTGAAAAACAAACAAACAAAAAACAACAGCAAAACAAAATTGCCTTCTTGATTAAGCTTTCCAAAGCCATTTGCACACAGCATCTGAAATGCTTGTGGAGGATTAAAAGCCTTTTATTCCAGGATTAGAGGTAAAGACTTAAAATATAAAATGCAAATGCCGATTGGGAATTAACATTACCATTTATTCCCACTCAGTACATTCTGAAAATGCCCCAGAAGGTCTGATCACATCCTTCCTAGTTTTTAAATTCATAGAGCTCAGGGGAGGGGAGTCTAAGATCCCTTTTTATGGGCCAACCTGTGTAGGGAGGTAAATGAAGGTATGGAAGAAAAAAAAATAAAAGCTGAGAAAACACTCTTGAAAACCCCTAACCCTTCAGGTTTACACCCCCCAAGCTCCAGGAGAATAAGGAACTAAAAAGAAAACTAGTTCCAAGGGCAACCTGACTCAGCCATTATTCAATCACCCCTGCCACAATGTAACAATGTAAAGAGATCTCTGTTAAGAGATGCGCTCAACTGTGACTGGGATAGTTGCAAGTGTTCCAGGAAGGACCACTGTGACCTTTGTGTAAACTCCACTCCTGCCCTGATACCCCCCTTGAGGTTTCGGGAAGAATGTGCATTCGAACGTGACTGTACCCACTCTGTGATCACCCTGTGATCAGGCCATGAAATTGTATGGGAATTGTTATCTTATGGCTTTTGGCTTTCCTTTAAAAGTACCCAGGTGATTGCAATAGGCACGACTATTGCTCTTTGGAGCAGAGTTAGCCCATCTGTACAGTCGCTTCAATAAACACCTCTTGCTATTGCATCAACTGGACCGGAGTCTGGGTTCTTGGGGCGCCCACTTGAGACCCAAGATTTTGGGGTCCAACACTCTAGATTTAGAAAACTACACGATTTGTTTCATTTTAGTGTATCTTGTTTTATAAAATCTATATGTTTGAAATAATTAGGTGAAATCATTGTTATGGATGTATCACTTTTTAGGAGAGGGCCTTACCCGGGCTATGCCTCCCCATCTTTATAGTTGAGGTTTACGGTTTGCGAAGCTTGTCACATTTTTTTTTCCCTCCAGGCAGTATTGAATTTTCTGCTCTTCGTGGAAATCTTGGCAGTTTTGAATATTCCTGTTAACCTGCTTTCTATGCCAACCTTGATATTTTGCTTCTTACCTTAAGCTGTTGTTCGCAGGAGGATACTTTGGGGGAAAAGGTCTTGCTTGGAACCTGGGTTGCCACAAGTAATTAACCTGCCAGTTGCATGTGGGTTTTTTTTTTAATTTCTAAATATCATGCAGTATAAATACTTAACTTTCAAAAAAATTTGGGGGGGGGGGCCTGTAGCTGTGTGGTCGCTACACGAGTGTGTGGGTTCACGTGGATCCGTGGAATGAAGACACAGAGGCATCTTAAGAATGAATCTAGCCTATCATGGCTGCAGGGGGGTCCAGCCTCAAAGGACTGAAGCACTCTTCCCTTCACCTAGGGCATATTTATTTACTCTTTTTACAGTTTAGATAGTTAATTTCCATACCTTCAAAGCAACCCAAAAGGAGCTCCCAGATACCAAATGCCAGGTGCAAATTACTTGATTTCTCAGGTACCACGGTTTTCTGGGTTTCCTGAACCAAGTTTTGCATACATCTTTGATCCTTGGGGGACTCTCTGATCCTTGACTCTCAGACAAGATTCACATAGGGAGATAAGAGAAACAAAAGGTAAGAGAAACAAAAAGTGTGGTTAAACAAAGGAAGAACCAGGGCTAGGTGCTGCTCTCTGGAACCAAGCCAGGAGCTCAGCAGGAATGCCACGACAGGGGCCGACCCTGCTATGCTCAGAGCTGCAGCACTTTCTTCTCACCATACCGAAGTACCTGACCAAACAGCGTAAGGTGGATTGGGGCTCTCCATTTCGGGGGACTTGAGTTCCTCATGGTACAGGAGGCCTGCTGAAGAGGCCCACCGGCAATGCTTCCCACCTGTGGGTGGTGTTTGAGCGGGTTATGGAACATTTGGGGCCTAGCTGGCATAAAGAGGCCAGTGGGAGCAATGCTTTGACTCCACCTGTCTCCCTTTCAGGCCGGGCTGGAGTCTCTCCAGCTTGCCTGGGCTGGATCCAATTTGTGTCTCTGTGCTCAGCCAGGCTAACAGCTGAAGTTACCTTCCCGTACCAAGACTACCTACCACCCAGTGTTTGGCTACATTTCTAAGAAGTTTTGAAGATTCTGGGAACTTTGGAATGCCCTGGGGGAAAAAAAAGAGTTCAGGGGAATATCCTAAAATATGTCCTTGCTCTCTTCTCCTACATTTCCAGCGACTTTACTGAAGATTTGATTTATTTATTTATTTTTTTTTTGCTAGTAATGGCGTTTAGCACTCGGTACTTAGATGAGTCAATTACTTCCTTAGTTTGCAGACACAAGCTGTTTGTACACGTTTTGCAGAGCCTGCGGTGAAACGGACAGGACTAGATAGAAAACCTGGGATATATGGATACAGGACCGAAGAGAAGTGAAGCGGCGCACGGGGCCAGAGCGCGTGCCCGCGGGCGCGGTCCCCAGGAGGTAACCGAAAACTACATTTCCCAGAGTCCCGCGCGCGCCCCGCCGCCCCGCCCCCGCGGCTCTCAGGCGCGCCCCGCCGAGCCGGGCACGAGCGAGCGGGCACCGAGCGAGCGAGCGAGCCATCGAGCGCGTCCGTGGGGTGTCCGAGCGGGGCTGGCGCGGCGCCGGCGCGGAGCGGGTGTGGCGGCTCGGCCTGCGCGGCGGGCGAGGACAGCGAGGTAACCGCCGCGTCGTCCCGCGCGCTGGTCTACCTGGAGCGGCCACCCGTGCTCGCGTCGGCGAGGGGCGGCCGGGCGGCGCCGTCCCCCCGGGGGAACCGAGAGGACCCGGAGCTGGGCCTCGCGGGCCGCGCTGTCCCGAGCGGCGGCGCAGATGCCCGGGGTGCCCGGGGTCCCCGGGGCGGGCGGCCTGCGGGGTGTCCCCTGCGCGGGGCTCCCGGAGCTCCGGCTGTCCGCACGGTCCTGCGGAAACCGCACCCGCGGGGGCGGCCCCCGCTCCAGGCTGAGCTCGCAGCTTTCTCCAGGGAGGGTGCCTGCTTTGTGGACTCACTTTGGGGTTCCCATAGCCGGCTCCGGGTGTGCACGGTCCTGACGTTGAGGTTTACGGTTTGCGAAGCTTGTCACATTCTTTTTTTTTTTTTTTCCCCCTCCAGGGAGTGTTGAATCTTCTGCTCTTCGTGGAAATCTTGGCAGTTTTGAATATTCCTGTTAACCTGCTTTCCATGCCAACCTTGATATTTTGCTTCTTACCTTAAGCTGCTGTTCGCGCAGGAGGATACTTTGCGGGGAAAGGTCTTGCTTGGAACCTGGGTTGCCACAAGTAATTAACCTGCCAGTTGCACGTGGGTTGTTTTTTTTTTTTAATTTTTAAATACTGGTTTTCTCTTACATAAGTTAATTGTTTTCACTCTTGTTTCTGCATGTCCGGTGAGCCCTGGCCGTGCTAAGGGGCGGGTGGAATACTCTTGGCTAAGCAGAAACCCTCTGCTGCTGATGCCTGAGGAGCCTGTAAACTGCATGCAGGTAGCTTTGCTCGTTAGCTGTTGCTTTTCCACGGGCTTCCTCCTGGCACCTTTTGGTTTTGTCAGCCAAAGCGACTGACCTACTTAAAACTTTAGTCGTGTTGCCTTTAAAATTCCAAACAGTAGAAACAGAAATATAAAAAGAAATCACAAGATGCTGCTGTATTGAGCTCGTATGCACTTGGTTTCGTGTTTACTCTTAGTGTCTCCCCCGCACCCCACGCCACGCGCCCCCTGGGCCTTGTGCATGCTCGCAAGCTCGCCACCACTGAATACATCCCAGTCCGCATTTTCACACTCACAGCTATTCTGTCAGTATTTGATACTGTTAGTGATTTGTAACGTCATATATTCCGTAATAATCCAAATCCTAATTTAAAATCACAGTGAGTAATTAAACAGAGCGTATCATTTTCCTGCCCCTACGGAAACTCAACCTCCCCGCTGTCAAATACCGCCGTCAAATCCCTCGCGGGATCAGAACCTACATTTCCTTTTCACTCAAAAATGCATCCTTTACCTTAGGGTCCGGACGGCGTCAGGAGTTGAGGCAGTAACTCAGTTGAAGGAGTGCTTGCCTAGCCCTGGGTACCGTGTCCAGCACTGCACAAACTGGCCTTGGTGTGGGTGCCTGGAGACCGGGGCAGGGGAGCCGGAAGTTCAAGGTCGTTCTCAGCTACACTGAGTTTACAGCCAGCCTGGGCCCTAGGAGACCCTGCCTCAAAACAGCAGCAAAATCTAAACAAAAAACCAAAAATGGACATTTAAGCTTCCCATTTCTTATATTTGAATTCTCAACAAAGAGTTTAATTTTGTATATGAAGAACTGAAGACGTGAGCAAGAACAAATGTTGCATAAATCAACAAAATGCCACGATTTTCAGCAGTAGGCTCTTTAGTGTAACCGTATCTTTTTCTGAAAAAAGTTTTATATTAAATAATGAAGCAGGCTGGGCGGCGGTGGTGCATGTATTTAATCCCAGCACTCTGGAGGCAGAGGCGGGTGGATCTCTGTGAGTTTGAGGCCAGCCTGGTCTACAGATCGAGTTCCAGGACAGTTCCAAAACTACACAGAGAAACCCTGTCTCGGGGAAAACAAACAAACAAACAAACAAAACAATGAAGCAAGAGGAAATCAGATATTTAAAATTTTTAATTTTTTTTTCAGTGCTGGAGATCAAACTCGGTTGAATATTTAAAACACACTAATTATTGTTTACTGCTTCCCTGCCGACATTTTACGTGTGGTCTGTCGGTTGGTTTTCTCTATTCTGAGGAGGATATAATCTTGGGCTGAGCTCACTTCTGCAATTAGTTCTGGGTGAGAATCCCTGCTCTCTACTCATTGGCTGTTTAGTCATGGCAAGTTGTTATCTGAACCTCTGTTTCCTTCGCTGTGGAGGAGGATAAAAATACTGTCTGCCTCTGTGTTCCTGGAATTGTAAGGATTAATCGTTATTATGTCCAGGAGCATTTTATGCTCCATAATCTACCACCCTGTTGATATCCCCACTCGCATACTGTATTTTAAAATGCTGCTGGCACAGTTTACTCTCTGGCGACCAGTGCGATGTAAACAGTCATCTTTGCTTTGTCTTTGAAGGATTGGTTGTATGAGCTTTATTATTTGCTTATGCTTTGTTTAATTGGTCCTGTAAATCAGAGGTAGAATTATGAAGGATTGGAAACACCTTGGAAACTTTTTTCCTGTCTCTCTGATTCTTTGTTGGAATCTGTGGCATGCCTACAAATAGTCTTCCAGGAGCATAAGAATTCTGTGTGTATTTGTATTTTCTGGAGAGTAGAGCAGATTCAACAGATACTCAAAGTGGTTCATGGCCCTTTTTCCCTCAAAGGTTCTTGTCCTTTTTTTTTTTTTTCTTTTTTGGGACAACATCTTGTTGTGTAGCCTGGGCTGACTCTGAACTACCTATCTTCCTGCCTCAACTTCCCAAGTCCCTGGGATTACAGGCATTCACAATTACACCTCATAAAATGGCTGGAATGGGGGAGGGCATAAGTGTTGAATTTGAGGCTTTTCAAATCATAGGCAAGCAAGTCCTCTACTGCCAAGCTACACTGCACACACACACACACACACACACACACACACACACACACACACACACACACACATTCCAAGAACCACTGGCTTCAATTGCTAAAAAAACTTGAAGATTTTTTTTAAATTGGGGGTGGGGTGGTAGAGCTGGCTTTCCCTGCAGAAGTGGAAGGTGATGTTTATAATAGAGTGCCTTCTTCTGGAGGCAAAGCCACTGACTGATCGTTACCATAGTAGACACTGCTACTCCCTCCTTGCCTGACAGCTTGGACGGGCATTAGAGTTGGTGATCCAGTACTGTATTACAGCCCAGCATGTTTGAATACTATTTTAAATGCTAAATGATAACCTGATTTAAAATTTGGACATTCTTGTTCTCAGTAGAATACCAAATGTATTAGCTTTCAAAGTAGATATTTATACTTGTAATTGTATAATATTTTTGTATGTAGAATAGGAAAGTTAAATCCTAATTGATGCTTATTTTGCATTCAGTATTGTTCAGAAAGAATGTATTAGGTATATTTTACAGAAAATTTTAACTGTCTTACATAGATCTATTACTAGGTTGTTATTTATAGTTTTAATTTGTTACAGCTTAAATTAGTCTTGAGAATTCCAACATCAGAGTCTATTTCTAAGTTTGAATTCACTCTTATAGTAGAATTTAGAAGCAACTGCATGTAAATGCACCATTTTCCCTGTGCAGCGGTAGAGCGCTGGGCTTCATAAGGCTTTACAGTATGAAGGCAGCTCCTGGTTCTGGTTACCAACAGCATTCACAGTGCTTGCAGGAAGTGCATGGGGGGATCTGTGGTGCTACACAAGCGCTCCACTGAGCAACGGCCTTTCCTTTGGACTTTCCCCTTTGATATTGGGCAGTATTTTTATTTGAAATCTGGGGGCTTTACAAAGTTAAAGGTTCATAATCTGTTAAGTCCCTGGGGATTTGTGGACTAATGAGCAGAACTGTGGCTTTCCACAGTTGCTTTTCATAAAGATAATCCGAGAGCTGCTTGTTTGCAAGATAACTCCACTATATCATATTTATTTCAGTTGTGAGAGTTTGAGTTAACTGTATGTAAATAGCAAATGGTAATCATTTTCGGAAAAAAAACAACCCCAGCATATGGATGGGAATACTGCTGTTTTGTGGGTATTCTACTTTAGAACTCTAAAAAGGTGGAAAATACTTGTTTTGTGGAGAGAAGATTATTAATACCATTTTAGTGTTCACTGAGACATGAATAGACCCCCTACAGAGCTAGGATCAACGCCATATTTGGACTAATGATGAGGTTTGGGCTTTGTAGTCAGCGCTCACCAGTGTTGACTCCTGGGCCCCTGCTTTACACCTGTGCATGTTGGAGAGACTCTTACTGACTCTGAGCCTCTTCACCCACTACAGATAAAAGCGGTTCCTCTTTGGGGGAGATTGAAATGAATGTGTGTATGTGTGTGTGTGTGTAAGTGTGAGTGTAAGAAAAGGACAAGAGGGTGATATAGGTCGGTAGTCCTTATCTTTTGCTGTGGAGGATTCTCAGTATTTGTATCCTAAATGTCAGTCATTATAAAGCATACTTTTTTTCTTTGCTGTAAAATAAGAATATTATTTGGAGAATTGTGTTCCCACTCAAAAACCTCTGGGCCAGTGTTTTATCAGAGTAAAAACATTCATTCATTAGATGCCTACTGTATACTAAATCCAGAGCCAAATACTTTATATTACTTCATTTGAATTTCACAACCACCTTAATGGAAAGCCGACAGAGTAATTTTGTGTGATTCACCCAAGCCTCCACAGCTAGAGAATCCCAGACTGTCTGACTCCTAAGTCTCTGCTATGAGCCACTATTTTATAGACCTTGTGTTCGACAGGCTAACATATTTCTCCAGAAGATACAAGGCAACAGTATTCTGTAATGCTGTGGTAGTTTACAACTAGAAACAAACTGACTTAAACCCAGGGTCAAACTGTTGCCTGTAGACCAAAGCCTACTCGCTGCCTGTCTGTGAATGCAGATGTCTTAGGACACATGTACACCTTCATGTCTGAACTGTCCACAGTGAATAGTTTTCATAGAGGCTGTATAGCCCATGGAGCCTAAACTATTTCCTGTCTAGCTGTTATACCCTAAAGAGTGCTGGCTCCCAAGCGGGACGAGTCCTGCTCCTTTATAAACTAATGGCTCAGGGGAGTATGGAGCATCCGAGGAATAACACCCCAGTATTGTCATTTCTACTGTTCCATCACACTTTTTTTGGCGGGGGAGCTTTTCGAGACAGGGTTTCTCTGTGTAGTGTTGCGCCTTTCCTGGAACTCACTCTGTAGTCCAGGCTGGCCTCGAACTCACAGAGATCCGCCTGGCTCTGCCTCCCGAGTGCTGGGATTAAAGGCATGTGCCACCACCGCCTGGCTCCATCACACTTCTTTTAAGGACTGTAAAATCAACAGAGATTCGACCATTGTACACAGGATTTTAAAGTATCAAAAGGGTATGATTGCAACCCATTTAAAATACCAGCTGCAATAATAATAGCATTTAGTCATTCCCCCTTCTTAGAATTAGTTTGAAGTGCTTTGGGAATATTGTTCATATGACCCATGCCTAAAGTTCTTTGGCCCAGTATGAAATTCCCCTACATAGTTCTCCATAATAAACAGCTTTTGAAATCAGTTCATTATGTGAGTCCAAAATAGTATTATTTTGTATAAATTGTATAAACCATTTTTGATTTTACAAGTAGAGCTTGTATC